CGTCACGTGACTTCCGCTGTCGTAACAATATTAATACACCGCTGTCTGGATATAAATATCTTTTAGAGAAACCCAGTATAATACATATTTCTCCGTTTAATTGTACTTTGTTTTTACTCCTTTTCGGCAGGTCAAGTTTTCTAGAGCTTGTCAAGTTTACTCTCGATATTATTTTATTAGCAATTAACCTAATATCCTCACCAACGTTAAATAAAGTAATCCCTTAAAAGTTAGAGAACAAATAACCGAATAACCAATTCATCTATTGTACTAAAGCACGATATTTCAATAACTTTATTAAATAGGATGACACGCAAACAGCCAGACGCTCGAGATAAACCCCAATTAAACAGAGAACAATGTTCTACTAAATTTTTATTTATCATAAAAAATATAAAACCTAGGATGAGGGTAATCGGACATCAATTGATCTTGATGTGACCAGGGTGGTTTTAGTTTATCGAATACTGAGCTTATCATTCTGAAGTAAGAAATCATCAATATTGAACTAAGAGTGTCGCTCTACCTTTCTGTCTCAGTCACTGATCCGACTCTACAGACTTTATTTTTAAGTGGTGATTTTCTTGAAGGTAGGCTTGCTGAGAGACTGGGGGAAATACTGAAAGAATATCAAAGATATGTTCCAATTACCTGATAACCCAAACTGCTGAAATAAATTCAATAATAATAACGGAGTTTCACTTTCACCGGTCAAAAAATAATAATAGCGTCAGCCGAAATACCAAAATATCGCTTAGAATCATACATAGATGGCAGCAGCAGAAACATTTGGGAACAACTTCCATATATCCTTTCTCTATACGTAGCTTTAATAAATTAATACATTGGCAAACAACGATTTATAAACGTAATGGATGATTTATTTTGGGGGGAACATACTACATATCTTGAAGGAGACAAATCAGTGTTCTATTGAAACATGTAGCATGTTCACAATCCCCCTAAATAAATCATTATGCTAGAGTTCAACTTAAACTTCCATAAACGGTATAAAATATAGGGGTGGTGGTAACTTTTATAATAATATATTAAAAAGTTACTGCCATTATTTTTTCTTAAAGGAAAATCATTCAGTAGTGGGCGTTTTTTTTCATCTTCTACATATACAAACACACAATCGTCATTTATAATCTGAAAATTGTTTTGTAACATAACTTACGATGATAATGGTGGTGGTGGTGGTGGTGTTTCTTTGTTCCTGTTTTATTCTATTTTGAGATTATTTAAATAGCTCTCTCTAAATAGTGGTTTTAAAAGCATAAAGAAATTATTACAAGTTTTATAAATATACGTCAATCTAACGAGTCTAGGAGCTAATTTCTGTTCTACACTAATGATACAAAATAAAAACCCTTAAATTTAACAATGTTCAAACTAACTGCCATGCAATGATGTCAGAGAAATACACGCGCAGACTTCAAAAATCACACCAACATTACTGTGCACGAGAATCAACAACAATACAAACAGATGTATACAGTAGACAGAAATAATTCTAACGTTTCAAAATTTCTGGCATTCTACATGGGCGTCACGAGTATTTCTTCAAGATAGATATGTCTGAAATCAATAACACATATAGGCCTACGTAAGCCCTGAAGCAGTAGCAGTATAGTGCATTGTCCATAGCAAGGATTATATCCAACTGGAGAAACACATTAACAAACGAAAGGGGTTAAAAATAAAAAACTCGATGTACTTCCGCAGGGTCCCCGAAAGTGTTCTGTTTCAAGAGTAAATAAAACCAAAATTAAGAGTAACAGATATTTTTATTTCTTGCTTTTGAAATTCATATGTCACACTGTGTTGTAGCCTACAAAGTGCATAAGTTTTCTCGTGATTCATGGTATGCGCATGTTTTATTGACGTCACGACAGTACAAATTGCAACGTTAGCGTCCCTTATGTGACGTCATTTTAGTGTTTACTAACTGACTGACAGACAACACACTACTGTTTAGTGGTGCGAGTGGTTAAAACAGATAACCCCCCCTCCAGGCGGGATTGGGCCTTCTTTCGGGGAAATTATAAAGTCATTTTCAGCAGTTTTTATAACACTACATTTTATTTTCCTTGACAACCAAAATTCAGTTGAGGTTCAAAGAGGTAGTAGTCCTTACGTACCTTACGAGCTCTCTGGCGACGCTCATGAATTGTTGAAATTCGAATTTAACACTCATTATAAACAAAAGGGGAAATATTTACCTTCCTCTGGACGTTGGAGGTAGTGGTAAAATGGGTTGCTTTAGCGTGGGTACCGGCCACGTTTTGAAAGATGTGACAGGACAAGAACCATCTGTAGATCCGTCGTATAGGTAGGCTAAGGCTGGATCCCAGGATAGAGAAGGGTAAGTGAAGGAGTTGACAAAAGAATCTTTGATCTTTATCCTTTTCGGAAAACTTCTGTCTTCTAAAATCGCCTACAAACACAAAATATTTCGTTGATTTAAACAAGAGGGTTTTTGAATAATAATAAATCATTGCAAAATATATTTCTCTTTTCAAGTTAAGTCTTTGAAAATAGTTTATTGTTGGCTGTGAGGTTTCAAAATGTGATATCTGCATTCTGACCACCTCGAGAAATCAAACCCCGGATTTGAGCACTGTTGCTTTGAAAACTTACCACTAACCCTCTAAGGCATTTGAAGAGAACGTCCCTTTAAATCTAAATTATCACTTCCCACTCCAGGCAAGTCCGTTTATTTCCCCTCACTCTGATTTCTCTCAAGTGAAGTATTTCATATTTCTCAATATGATTAACGAAATTTTCAACAACTATTTTTATTTTAAGTCACAGTTTTTACCTTCTTTTCACATCGAATTCCTTCCATACGAAATTAAAGGCTGCTGATGTATAGAAAACAACTTCTAGTTTTAAAAAGAAAACCATATATGTTTGCAACGATTCTCAAACGTCACAGCTTCACCTTAAAATCGTGAAGTTTTTATACACACAAACGAAATTGTAAGGTTGTTCAACTTTACAATATTTTTTTAATGATTATTTGAACACGACTTCTGTTTTAAATTATTAAATATTATTACAATAATACTAACTCAACCGGACATATATTTACATTGAAGGATGTTAAAGCAAGTAATCTTATTCCCTGAAGCCTTTGATCGATATCAGAAAGACAAAAAATATAATGTATGAATAATACATATAACTCCCAGTGCGTCTACGATAAGCTTTGTTCTCAAACAAACATACAACAGAAATTCATTAACATTTATGACTTTTAGTGTGTGTGTTTTTTTAAATAATTGATGAAAGAGTAGAAATGATCTTACTCGAAGTTTTATTACCTAAAGCAGCATAGACTTCAATGTTTTGTAGTAACTCCCTGTTTTCATGTCGAAAGTCGAAGGGCTACGGATTTAAAATTTATGAGCATTTTTTGTTTTTGAAGTGACTTGATATTATTTCTAGAGACCCGCTATGTTCGAGATGTGCTTAGAACTGCTTTTTCGAACGTTGTCAAGAATCACAGAATACTTAAAAAATGTTCAAAAGTTTAATTTACTTTTCATATCTACTGCTGACGACCTAAAAGGATTATTTTGTTCACATTTATACCAAACAGCAATTACAACAACCAAAAAAAGTTGGTGTATTTTTCGGTTTTTATCGGCATCTTTTCCCATAATTGTTAAATGTAGTGTTAAAAGGTCACAGATAAAGCTGGTTAATGACAAAAAAAAAATTGATGTTACTTTATCACAAATAAAATGTGAATTATGATACTGGTAAGAAAATATATAATTGTCTAAAAATAATTAAACAATTTCGTATGTGTCTTCAAGTTAAACATTTTGTTTATACAGAAGAAATTTTTTATTAGGATACATATTGATGTTCATACTCAAGCCACGCAGCTGGTGTCTTTAAACGACGAAAAATGTACTATGTTATTAAGTTTTAATAGTAAGGAATTATTTAAACAAAAAAATGTTGATTAAAACAAGAATTTTTTTAAATTTCCAAATAATTCGCAATGTACTCACATACACCCACGTGTTTCGTATATTGTTAAGCACACAGAGAGGTTTGTTATGACTTTTGCGCAAAGCTACACAAGGCTATCTGCGCTAGCCGTCCCTAATTTAGCTGTGTAAGACTAGAGAGAAGGCAGCTAGTTATCACCATCCACCGCCAATTCTTGGGCTACTCTTTTACCGACGAATAGTGGGATTGACCGTCGCAATATAACGCCTCCACGGCTGAAAGAGCGAGCATGTTTGGTGGGACGGGGATTCGAACCCATAGATTATGAGTCGAGCGCTCTAACCATCTGGCCATGCCAGGCCAATACACAGAGAGAAATATAATTATCATAAATATGACATTTTATTATCAAAAGATGGCGATATGTACCATTAGGCTATAGGGCGGCCGGCATACGATAATTAAAACATTGGACATTATAATCTATTATTTACACAAGTGCATTATGTCTTCCACAGTTGAGCTCAGTGGCTAGAAGACTAACCATAATTATTGTTAACGTCAAAATAATTCTGTATATTCTACACTCGGCTCTTTCAGTTTTCTGGAGTACGATCGTTTTATTTGGCTCTTTTTTTCCTTTTCGTTTTTAAATCATTTTCTCCAATTCATTCTTTATCGCTTCGGCCCATGAAAATTATCAGCGAAGAAATAACCAGATGATCCCTGACTTTCAAAATCACATACATGAGAAGCCTCCTTTTTCTCCAGACGTATATTAAGTAACATTTCCAGACACCAGTAGTTGTAAATATATACATCCATCGACAAAACCAGCACAAATATTCTGTATTTTTCAACATCGAAAAGCTCCATGCTTGATAACGAAAATCTATTTTCCTTCAGTTCTTTTTTAATTAAAGATAAAACCTGGATACCATAAACAAATCCTAATAACCGACGTGTTTAGCTCTTGTCAACCTCCATTTTTATTTTTTCTGGATTCTCACTATTGCCGAAAATATTAGACAAATAAGTGTGTGATAAAACTCAAAACTTACTAAATCAAATGTTTTATTAAAATAATGACCACAAATGCCTCAACCAATGAGGCTTGCTAGTTCATTCACCAGATGGTGCGGATGTCAATTTATTTTAGCGCTTGTTTGTTTTGAATTTCGCGCAAAGCTACACGAGGGCTATCTGCGCTAGCCGTCCCTAATTTAGCAGTGTAAGACTAGAGGGAAGGCAGCTAGTCATCACCGCCCACTGCCAACTCTTGGGCTACTCTTTTACCAACGAAAAGTGGGATTGACCGTCACATTATAACGCCCCCACGGCTGAAAGGGCGAGCATGTTTGGTGTGACGGGGATTCGAACCCGCGACCCTCAGATTGCAAGTCGAGCGCCCTAACCACCTGGCCATGCCGGGCCTTATTTTAGCGCAAAGCTACACAATGGGATATCTGTGCACCACTGGAATCTAACCCCAGATTTTATCGTTATAAGCTCTTAAACATACTGCTGATACACTGAGGGACGTTTTTTTTTTTCATAATTTTCGCGCAAAGCTACAAGGCAGCTTATCCACATCACATACTACCTACTTATTCTAGGGCTACTTTTGTCTGACCGAACAGTGGGGTTTGACCGTCATTTTTATCGGGCATTTTTCTGGGCGCTTTTTTTTTCTTACATCATAGAGTCGCGAATTATGGATTCGTAGTTCGAGCACGCTAATCACTAGACCAATTTTACTTTCTCTGGAAACTTCATCTGTTCACAGGAGGTACGCCAATTAAAACTCGGGTCAGTCAAGATTCAAACCACTTATACAAAACAGACATATTTCACTGCCCACAGGAGATACGCCAATTAAAACTCAGCTGTAGACTGTTACATTGCTAGGTCAGTGAAGATTCAAACCACTAAAACAAAACAGACATCATTCACTGCCCACAGGAGGTACGCCAATTAAAACTCAGCTGTAGACTGTTACAGTGCTAGGTTAGTCAAGATTCAAACCACTTATACAAAACAGACATCCTTCACTGCCCACAGGATATACTGACCTAGCAATGTAACAGTCTACAGCTGAGTTTTAATTGGCGTACCTCCTGTGGGCAGTGAAGGATGTCTGTTTTGTATAAGTGGTTTGAATCTTGACTGACCTAGCAATGTAACAGTCTACAGCTGAGTTTTAATTGGCGTGAAGATTCAAACCACTAAAACAAAACAGACATCCTTCACTGCCCACAGGAGGCACGTCAATTAAAACTCAGCTGTAGACTGTTACATTGCTAGTTCAGTCAAGATTCAAACCACTTATACAAAACAGACATCCTTCACTGCCCACAGGAGGTACGTCAATTAAAACTCAGCTGTAGACTGTTACATTGCTGGGTCACCCGAGATTCAAACCACTAAAACAAAACAGACATCCTTCACTGCCCACAGGAGGCACGCCAATTAAAACTCAGCTGTAGACTGTTACATTGCTAGGTCAGTCAAGATTCAAACCACTTATACGAAACAGACATCATTTACTGCCCATGCAGAGTGCAAGTGTTCATATAATCGACACAATATAAAATTGATTTCTCAGAAATATAGCACGCATACAGGATTTTTTCAGTTTGTTTCTGAGTGTCATCTGTTGGGATTGCGAAGAGTTATTTTATAGCCGATGGAGTCGACGACCACTATCAGATTTTTAGATACAGTTTTCTAAACTATTCGTGCAGCAAATTACTAGTGAGCTCCTAACTTCATTGATTACAGGATCTTTATTGACATATGAATCACACGCACAAATGAAACAAAAATACCCTCGATATCGTAATTAATACCACTAATTACTGTTGGGATTACATAGGAAATGGATGATTTCGAGTATAAAGGCTTACAACGCTAAAATTCGGGGTTCGATTCCCCACCGTGGGCACAACAGATAGCCAAATGTGGCTTTGCGCTAAAACAAACAAAGCAATATGTGGACCCACTGGCAGTTAACGGAATACAAACAAGTCGAACACTTGCTCCTGACAACAAACCTATCACATTCTTTTGAAATTAATTACTATGATTAATTAAGGGAAGGCAGCTAGTCATCACCACCCACCGCCAACTCTTGCCCTACTCTTTTACCAACGAATAGTGGGATTGACCGTCACACTATAACGCCCCCCACGGCTGAAAGGGCGAGCATGTTTGGTGTGATGGGGATTCGAACCCGCAGATTGCGAGTCGAGTACCCTAACCACCTGGCCATGCCGTCCCGGGTGTACCAGTGATGTCTCGGAGTTAATAAGCCTGCAAAAATTATTCACATTTATTCTAATAAGTCTGCTTGTTCGGGAATGAAAGCCAGCGAATTCACCCGACTTTGAATCGGATAACCGCGCTCTGCACTTTGAGGCCGTGGGTGCGCCATAAGAGTGATTGTCAAGCTCTACACTGCTTGATCAGATA